GTGATTATCTCAATTTCGGCTAAAAGACTTGACAAAATCCTACACACTGTGCCTTTTTAAAGGAGCTGATTTAAAAATCACTAAAATTTAATATTTTTTATTTCAAGCTGGATATTTTTTAAAAGACTGACTAGTTTTTGGTGGACAAAAATATTAATAAATAGTATTTTTCAACAGTTATGTAAGGTGGTTGATATTCCCCCCCAGTAATAGTTTTAGTCATAAAGTTAAAGGACCTTTAAAGGATTAATACACTGAAAAGATCCAACTACTGGCATAGTTTTTAAAAATGACTCAATGTGTAGCTTTAGCCGAGTACCCACCCACTGAGTGTATCTTACTAATCATTACAGCTGAGTTTATGTATAATTATGTAAAAGAAATATATCGTTTGTGTTTTTGCTACAATCAGATGTGAAACTAAGTAGAGATTAATATGAATATAACACAATAAATATAAATTTAGGTTTAATGCAAATTGGCTACATTACAGGTAATTGGGCATAATAGTAAAAATCCCTTTGCTGCACAGTCCCAAAGACCTGTCTGTGAATCTTGATGTGTGTAGAATACACATGAACAGGCATCAGCTGCCACCTCAGACCAGAAACTATCTATCTTTTTTATTTTTATTTTATTTTTTTGCCCAGGTAAAAACTTTCACCCACTGAAAACAAGTCTGCAACCCACCAGTTGAGAATCACTGGTTTAAAGGCATGGTGATCTCAGTGGTGAAAACTTATGAATTTGAAGGGGAAAGAAAGAATCCCAATTGACCTAAAACAAGAAAAGTTGAATGTTTTTGTGTGTTTGATGTCTGCAAACATAAGGTTTCAGCTGTATATTAAGAAATCAGGAGTTTCACTCATCTCTGCTCTCTGAATGCTCATGCAGGGGCCAGCGGGTGGGGCAGCTATCACGGCCGCTGGGGCTTCGAGGCGTTCAGTCACCGGCGGGCCTGCATGCTGCGCGGCTGGGCTTTGGAGCGACTCAACAGCCTGCGTTACCCCCCTTACACTGAAGACAAGTTAAAGTGGCTGCGCTGGACTACCTCAGCGACCAGCAGCTGCTCCCTCATGTGATGAAATGTGTGTTTGTGGAGCTGTTTGACTTCCTCCTTGAGGACACTCTACTTCCTACAAGGTCTGACAGCTTGGTATGGTCTAATAAAATGTTTGCCTCCCATCCCCACACAGGCTGAGAGCTCAGACTTTGTTCCAGGTTTAGGAGTACGCTAGGGCATTCCATCAAAATGTCAGTGTGGAGTCCCTCACAGATGACTGTGAGGACTTCTTTGATTCTGTAACGTCATCCTGGAAGAATGAAAAATGAGATGTTTATTAGTGTAATACTGTCACTTTTCAATGTGCCAAGTTTATCTGTCACATTTAAGTTTGCATTTAGACATTTTTAAATGGTTTTCTTCACAATTCATTTGTTTCTCAGTATTTCTCTCTTCTTGCTAAATCTAGTTTTGTTTTCTCACATTGCTGCTGATTTTCGTGTTTGAATGATCCGTTTTCAAAAATCTCTGGTCATCAGTTTATCTCAAAAATGCCAGTTTAAATACACTAAAACATGACCTTCAACCTTTTAGCTGCTTTTCTTTTAGACTGCCTTAAAATAATTTTAAACCAGGTTTCAGTTATTTTGTAAAAGCCTGAATAAAAGGCTGAGCATGTGTCAGCCACAACTGCACTACAATCTAGGTCAAATACTGTAAAATTTACTGAATTATAGACATTTTTGGATTTAAGTACAGTTTGCTCCCTTTGGAGGTTTCTCCAGGCGTGTCCCACTGAGGTGAGACCTCAGGGCAGACCCAGAACAAATCTTCTATGGCCTGGGAACATCTTGGGCTCCTCAAGGTGGTCTGGGTTTCTGTCCTGGATCTGTGTGACCCCACCACAGGTAAAGGCTCCATCACACTAAAATGATACCAACTTATAAAAAGTCTGTTCAACGCTATAGATGGAATCAAAAATATATTATTTGGACCTATATACTTACTGTAATGTTTACAACTGGACTGTACAAATAGCTGATATGAGTAAAACAGTTACATAATTTTTACAAGTCTGCATATGTTGTCTAAACCGTTGTAGTGTGACAGCTAGGGCCTAAAAGGGTAGAAGATGAAGATGGTCAGCTGGCCGTGGTGGCCATCTTGAATTAAGTTAGCTTCAAAAGGTAATCAATTGTAGTTTATAAAATTGTTTCCTAAATTTTAGTAAAGTCTGTCTAGTGGTACGAGATACTGTAGTCACAGAGTTGATTCCATGGCTATGCTACCTTAGCATGGTGAAGGTGAAATGTCACCTCTCTGGTGGTGACGGAGCCTGAGGTTGACATACAGGTGCTGGTCATAAAATTAGAATATCATGTAAAAGTAGATTTATTTCAGTAATTCCATTTAAAAAGTGAAACTTGTATATTATATTCATACATTACATACAAACTCATATATTTCAAATGTTTATTTCGTTTAATTTTGATGATTACAAATG